GTTGGAAGCCTCTAAAGCTATTGCTCATCCGCCAGAACACACATGGCAACAAGATATTCACTCAGTGAGCCAATGGTTTACTTAATACCACTAAAATCAACTAACTGGGAGTAATGAACTACTGAAGATTATTCCCAATTCTTTTAATCAAAAGTAGTTTATTGACCTTCCTCTCACCCTGGAAATGCCAAATTAGACTGTATAGCTAAGTGTGCTTCTAATAGTGCGGATGTTCCAACCATCTTAAGATAAGTCAATTGGCTATTTCTGTTTACTTATTATTAATAGACAGCACAATACATAAAGTGGATGGACTAGAACACCTCAGCAGCTAACCTTGCTTTTCAATATAGTATGAAAACTGACCTAAAACAAAAGATGCACATTACTGTTTTAAAAATTTCTAGATTAAAAAAGGGGAATGGGAGAGGATTTGTTTCAAGTCTCTTCTAAAAGTATGAGGTTAAAAACATGGGATATAAATCTCAATCACACCGCATTATTTTTATCTGAGGGTTTACATAAATTCTGGCATAAGTATCAAAATAATAAAATTGATTCAAAACATCTGAAAGTAATACCATGCATTGAATCTCAGAGTTAAATAAGTTAAAAAATTCTAATGCCTTCAGCGTGAAGAACTTTTATGTTCTGAACATACAAAAATATTATCTAAAATATTCTGAATTTTAAAAATAAACTTACTCCTTTTCAAGTTTGGTGATAAAACTCATTCAAGACAAAATCAACTTTCTTCATCTTACCTCAAAACAAATTCTTAGATTTCATCCAAACTGATTTCATTCTTTGTCAACGGGAAAGGCAAAATGCTAGCATATTGCCATATATGTGAAGACACTGATGGCCTAGACTTTTAAAAGTGAAACAACTGAATTTTGAAAGAGGAAAAATACCCAAGGGTTTGTAAGAAAAAAAAAAAAAAGTTGCTACTTCTCTTGACTATAGTTAACCACATACATAAGACCTACACTATCAGAGGGATGTGGGAGTGCTGACTTAGAACTCAATTAACTTTCACAACTCCAAGATTACATGTTAACAAAACTAAGTGGTGTCAATTACTTGCTACACTAAAGTGAAATGTTTAATTTACAAGTCCCTACAAGAATTGAAAAAGTCCAAAGAAAACACAAGATTAGCTGAAATTTTAGTAAATCCCAGATGACCTGTAGAGGTTTTTTTGGTGGGTTTTTTTTTTTTTTCCCCCCTTTAGAGAATACCCTTAACAAAAGCAAAACACCAAGTGAGGAGAATCAGCATTCTTAAAGATTATATGTGCTCCTGTATTATTTTATTATCTCATCTATTAATGCCAACCATTAAGAGAATTGTTTAGTTACTCTAATAGTATTTTGGCAAATGGTCAAAAGAATCCAAGAACTTTTCAATATGCATGCAGTGTTTAAAAGAATATTCTCATTGGAAGCACCAAAGTATTTATAGCATGCTTCAAATTAAGAGATGTGATCTTAATATTTAGGCATCTCTATCTTTATAAATATAACTACTAAGGGAGAACGTGAAAGTTTTGATAATGCAAATGTTTTTTAAAGGCACTTAAAGATTAAGGACAACCTTATATTCTTTTGGATTTTCATTTGTTCAAAATTACTAAGTAAAACACCAGTTCAGATTTTAGCATAAAAGGAAACGGATCATTCTATTATCTATTTAGGTGAATTATACAACTTTTCAAAATTTTTAAATGTGGAAGAGCCACTTGCACAAATGTTATTGTATATTTCTATTCAGACTGATAGTTCCTAGTTGCTATTTCAGAGATTTGTGCCGATTCAACACATAAAATCTGTATGGCCCGCTGCCCTATAATACTAGCAACTAAAAAGTCATCACCATTTGAAAATTGAATATCCATTTACCAGAAGTGAATACCTGGAAAGACAGAGTTTAACAGTAAAACTATGTGACAGCAAGTAAGTTTAATATTTTTCCTCTGTGAACTTTAATTTGTGGATGGTGTTGATGAGTCCAGTAATGAAACCCAAGGTCGACAGAAAACTCCTGTAACTACACAAGTTGCACAATAAGACATTTAAACACTGTGGTCACGATATAATGATTAATTCTAATTTTATGTAAACATAACTGCAAATAGAAGCCCATTATTATAGGCTAAATACTGTGACTTCATTTTGTCACAGTATCCATTATCATCAGCTTAATGTGTCCACTGAACTTTTCTTCTAAGGGAAAAATATTTTAAAACTAAGTTGCAATTAAAGTTTCCCATTTTTTCCCAAAAGATTTAAGTCTTCCGTTTTCATTACTATACCAGGGTTTATGTAAAATTAAAGGCAAACCTACCTTACTTTACAAAAGTGACACATGAAAAACAAATGTAAAACAATGACTTTATAAAATTCAGTAACCCTCTGAAAATTTGCTACAGTATTGATGTGCTGTTTTTCGTGACATATAATGAGTGTTTATTCAACATTATTTATTTTGCATTTGGTTCCTTTTAAGCTACCTCCAAGCTGACTTTTCCTACTAAATCAAAAAAGCACCAGCTATTCAACATTTCAGAGATAAATCTGCCTACTACCACCTATGTTTTAAATCGTATTATTTTCTAAAATAAGTTTTACTGTGATAACACATGGAGTAAATGTATCCATAATTCCTAAGAATACTAAATGTTAAGGCTGAATTTCTTGGGGAGGGCGGGTCATTCTTTTGAACATTATCAAACTGATAATGAGCAAATAGAAAAGTATTCCCCCAAATCTCAAATTAAAATACTGACCTGAGAATACTCCTGGTATTTTAAAATTCTACAGATTAACTGTGTGGACAGGTTCAAAGCCACCATGGCATCCTTAGCAGAAGAGTTTTCTGCAGGCAGGGCAGATCTATTAAAAAACATGACCTGTGACAAAAATCAATGTGCTAATCTCAAACCAAACAACAGTATCAAAAGCATAAAACAGAGATAACCTAAGATAAAATGTCCTCAAACTAACTCAGACTAGCTTGACAGGTTAAGAGGGAGGGGTAGAGTGGGGGTGTTGCTGATTCTTTCTATTTTAACCAGGATGACTAGAACACCAAATATCCAAGTAAATGAATACCAGGAGGAAAGATGACACTGTGAAGTTTGGAGTGGGAAAGAAAAAACAACCAAGAGTAAAATATTCCAAATTTAACTAATCAATTTCGCCGTTGTTTTATTTAATAAGGTGCTGAAGTTCAGAAATATAAATTCCTGTTTCATATATGCTGACTAATAAAGCCCAAAGGGGAATAAAACCAACCAACCTAATGAGACTGGCTTTTAACACCATCACAACTGGAAAGCTTGCTCTATTTGTCTTGTCAGCTTTAATAAAAGGCATCTCCTCTGGCAGGATAGCTTCTCTTTCTCTTTTCCTAATAGTGGTAAGTGGCATGTCAAAGTAAGAAATAGCTTCCCATCCCAACACCCACCTCCACCAGACTTTTTCTGTAAACCAAACTTTCAGGGATGTCTCCACTTCTGCCAGGCAATACAACGAGGGCTTGGGCTACCTGGGTGTGACTGTCTTTCTTGGGTTGGCAGGGCGGGAGAATTCTCTTACTGCTCCGCAGGCAGGCGGTGGACTGCTGGTGCAGAAATCTGCCCTTCTTCATCTGAGTTGACACTACCTCAAGTGGGGAATCCCTCCCATGCCTACAGAAGGAGGGGAGGCAAGAGGCCGGCGGCAGAGGGCCACCCGGAGGTAGGAAGAATTGAAGGCTTTCGAGGATCCTCTTTCCCCAGGAACATTAGGCGGGAAGCAAGCGCAAACTCTCCCCATAGTCTCCCGCCGCTGTCCTTACAACTTACAATGCAGCCCGGGGAAAACCCTGGAATTTTAGGTATATTCGATGCTATTTCACTCCTACGCGGGGGCCGAGACCAACACACAGCTGGAAACTGGCCTCGGTCCCAGAGCAGCAGAGTAATATGCCCAACGGAGCCGACTGCTGCCCGTAGGCCCCAGAGAAAGTAGGGCTCAGAGCAGCAATGGATCCAAGGGGTCCGCCAGGAACTCTGGACAATCCCCACCACACCCCACGTCGAGGGCCGGTGAATTAGGAACGTCTGCGGATGTCAGGGTCCAATAGGCGCGTGAGGGCAGCCCCCGGAGCCCACAGCTTGCCTCCCGCGTACCCTGTAGGTTTCGGGGGACGCCCGCCGAACGGTTCCAGGTAATCGCGCACGTTCCTCCGGCTGCAGGCCAACCCGGGGACGAAGATCTCCCACCTCCTGGTTCGGCTAACTCCAGCAGCTCGATCCGCACAAATGACGTAACCCGGCATTAGATCAAACTTTCTGGCACCTTGAGCCCACCTGAGGGTGGAGGAAGTGAGGGAATTCTCTCCACTACTAAGCGCGCCGGGCCCAGATGGACCACGGGGCCGGTGATTTTCTCGCGGTTCAAGAAGAAAATAAAAATCTAAAGCTTCCGCTTCCCAACCCCCCCATGCTCCCCACTTCCCCCAGCCGGTGCGCTCTCTGAGCGCACGGAGAAAAGGGAAGGCAAGATAGGAGAAGGGGAAAAAAAAAACTTTGGGGATGCCTGGCGGATTGCTGTCCCCAGCGCACCGCGCTCTAGGCGGGAGCTCCTAGCGGCGCGCACCCAGAGCTCCCGGTGCCCAAGCCCTGCGCCCGGATCGGGATGCTGGCCAGCCGGCCAGGGCGGGGTGGCGCAGAAGTCTCGACTCCCCGGCTCGCGCCTTTTCCGAATCTCCCAGCAGCGCGCTGAAGAGGCAGCCCCCGGGACTCCAAGGGGTGCCCAGCCTTTCCGCCGCCGCTTAACAAAGAGGGGCGCGACGGGAGCGCCTCCGCGAGCACCTCGAAGCGATCAGCGCTCGGGCGACGCAAGCACCGGGGGTGCGCGCCTCCGGTGGCGGCCGGTGTGCGCCAGCCGCGCCGCTCCTTCCGCAGGGCCCCAAGGCCAGGGTAGCCCGGCTCTCCGCTCCCCCCACTGCCTTACCTGGGGTTGCTGCTGTTCCAGTAGACGGCGTAGCGGTCGGCGACGGCCTTGGAGCCCGGGTCCTGGCTGAACACACACATCCAGAGCACCAGAAACACCAGCGTCAACATCTCCACGTGCAACATCACGCCTGGCCAGCGGAGGAGCCCCCAACGCGCCACTCCGGGGAGAAAATAGGAATCCGGAGGGAGGGAGGACGGGAAGAGGAGAAAGCGAGTGAGAGAGCGAGAGCCAAATAAATATGAATAAATAAAAATGAAGCGGAGCAAGAAAAGAAAGGGGCGCGCACCCAGCTGAGGAGGGGGAGGAGAAAGAAGAAAAAAGGCGGTGGTGCGGGAGGGGGGGATAAAGACAAACTCGCACCCCCACTGGAGGCTTCAGGAGAAAAAAAGGAATCACAAGATGGAGAGAAGCGCGCGTGTGTGTGGCTGGCGGCGGCGAGGGCGGGGGAAGGGGTGCCAAGCTGTGTCTCGGGCGGCGGCGGGCCGGTCACCCCGGGAGAGGGAGGTGCGCGCCGGGCCGGGCGGCGGCAGCGCGGGTTGGGGCAGGCGGCGGCGCGCGCTGCACAGTCACCGGGAGTTGCGCGCCGCGGTCGCGGGGAGACATACACCGGCCCGCCGGGCCTGGCTCAGCGTCGGCGCCGCGGGTTGCGCACGGCTCCGCCGCCGCCCAGGGCCCTCGCACTGCACCCCGCTTCGCTCCAAGTTACTTTGGCAGCCGGAGGCAAACTGCAGGAAGAGGGCTTCGCGGGGAAGGCGGTCTGCGCGCTCGTGGCCCGGGGAGTCTGACAACCCCCTTCTCCCGCCTCCTCCGTGCCTTCACCGGGAGACCCCTGGAAATCTCGCAGGAGTCCTATGTGCTGCGGGTTCGCGGCGCGGCGCTGAGCGGAGAAGGGTGGGAATCCGAAGCCACACACCCAGCCCCGCCGGCGTCCTGGAACTGGTTAAGCCGCAGCTACGCGGGCGAGGAGCGGTCTCGCCCGGCAATCCGCAAAGAAAAGTTTGGCTCCTCGCGTCTTCCGGCAGGTCTCCCCGGCGGAATCGGGCTGCGGCGGCGACAGCGGTGGGAGACGACACCCCGGGCGCTGGCGGAGCCTCGGGGATTTTTCGCGCGTGCTTTTCCTGGCCGGGTGTGGGTGCGCCAGAGTAGATGAAGAGCAGAGGTTACGAACCAGCCAACCAGGAGGGGCTGGGATGCCCAAACCTGCAGGACGACGTCAGCCCAACTGTCCGTCTGGGGAGCGGGAGGGGAAACAATCACTTTCAAATGAATCGATCCAACTCCTGAATGGGCTGATGTCAAGTCTCCGGTCGCTTTCCGGGAGCAAGACGGAGCCCCCAGACGCGAAGCCGAGAGCCTAGGGTGAGCTCTCAGAAGTGTCCCTGCGACTCCGAAGGGTCCAACCCGGCGCCCGGCAACTTGTAGAGATGCATCAATCAGTTTGAAATGGGAAAATAGAAAAAAAAAGAGACACGGAGAACGCGCACGAGCGAACGGCACCTCTCGGATGACTACATCAGAAGACCTTCCTCATCCGCCCGCAGCTGCTCCTTTTTCCCTCTTTGGGCACAGCAGCAACAAGAGGTGAAGACCACCAGCCGAACCCTGAAAACACCTACCAGGCGGGAAAATAAACTTGAGTGCAGCGGCAGCACGAGCAGCCCGGGAAGGAGAGAAACGACTGGCGAGAAGTGGAAAGGAGTAAAAGTCAGTTTTGCAAAAGAGAAGAAAAAAAAAGGAAAAAAATGCTTTATGGGAAAAATCTCCTCGGGCACGCCCCCTCGTTAATGACCTGCGTGTAAAGCCGACAGCAGCGGCGACCCAGCAGCGCTAGCCACACGGGAGCGCGAGGCCGCGCGCGTGAACGTGGACGTGGGCGGTGCAGCGCGAGGGGGGCTCCCGGGCGCGGGGCGCGGGGCAGGCGGGTGGCGCGAGCGCTGGTGTGAGCTCCGGGCCGAGCAGGGGGAGGCGCCGCCAGCCCGCGCCCAGCCAGCGCTGCTGCCGCCGCGGCCCAGGTCATGTGGGCTGCCTTTTTTTTTTTTTCTTTTTTTTTTTTTCCCTTCTTGCAGTTTACTTGGGAAGGGGTGGGGGTGGCTGGAGCAGCCAGTCAGGGAACGGCCTGCTGTTTGCTTACAGATCGGGGTTTTTCCTCTCTCCTTACTCCAACCCCATTGGTTTGTTACTGGAGAAAGAGGCGTTTTCCTAACCTCCTCCTTTCCCCACTCCTCCTACCCCTCTCCTGGGCCCCACCTTCCAGAAACCTGACTAATTGAATTACTGGGAGTGCCGAGGCGCCCTCTCCGCCTCCTCCTCCCGTGCCCCGCAGCCGCGCGTAACCCTTTGGATGCTGAATTTCTTCTGGGCTGAGGAATGATTTGAGGAATGGCTCGTCTTTTCTTTTTGCAGAGTAGAGTCGATTACAAAAGAACCGGTTTCCACCCTGTAGCGGCAGAACCGAAATCTGTCTCCTGGGCCCCTCAGATGGTACGAAGTCCGGGAAGACAGGCTGGCAGGGAATCTCAGTAAATACGTTCTTGTAAATCTCTGCGCTGTTCTTCTCTAGGCGCTGGGTTATAAGGAAACCTAAGCTGTTCTCATCCACCTTTCAACTGCCCTCTCCTATCTGGAATTTAAAGGTCCATGGGCTGGAAGCAAGACTTTTCTTTAAAGTGGTGCTCTGCAAACATTTTTTTTAATCGAGAAAATTACAGAGTAAAGTGACTGCACTTCAGTGAGAACCTTCAACAGGGAAAAAATGAATGTGGCAGGGGAGCGCATAAGAAATATCTTGCACCTTTTCCATTTAAACCCCGGGTTCGGTTCGCTGCCCATTCCCCGCAAGATAAATGCTTTGAACGAACCAGGTGCGGGAAGAAAGGGAGGTTGGGGAAGTCCCTTTATTATTGGAAAAGGCCTTCGTTTCTGTTCTTGTACAGTAGGTTGCAGGGCCTGGACCCCAGCCGCCACCGAAACGCGATCGCCTCACTGCGAGGCGGCGCCGGCGCCCAGGGACACGTTCCCCTGCTGTCCAAACGCGAGAGAAGCCTCCCGGGCGCGCGGCGCTGCGGGGCTACGAACCCTCGAGACTCGCCCTCGCGGGGCTCCGCAGGCTCTGGCCTGCGTAGTGTTGTTCTCTCGCGCTCTATAGGGAGGTTGCTGTCTCCGTGGGAAGAACTGATCTCCAGAAAGCAAGCTGTTTAGTTTTGCGCCCAAACCTGCCTGTTTTCCCCTTTAGTTATTAACCCAACAGAATCAAGTAGTACATTCTTCCTGCGCATTCCAATTCTAGAGCTCGGGATTTCCAGGCGTTTTGGAGCCGTTTGAAAGCGTCCAGACGCCCTCCAGTGGTGGGCCGGCAGTCCGCAGCCAGCGGGTTTTGGCCCGCGGCTCAGCCCAGGAGGAGTTTGCTAGACACTGTGGGGGTCATGCTCAACAAAGACTTGAGGGGGAAAAACTAGTTCTGGTCGGCGTGGATTTACCTGGATGTTTCTGGGCTCTTGCCTAAAAGTTGAGTAGTTTCTCAATTGCAGAAAAGTTGCCTACCCGAAGGCATCTTGAAATTGCCCTAAGAAAATAACTTGTATTCTGACTAAACATCATTTGCTATCTGTGTGGCTATACACCCCATCACAGACTACTCGAACCAATCACCTTCCTAACTTTAAAAAATGTAAATTCAGAATATTAGCACAAATGCTTCTTTTTCATCTGTATGTTTCACAAATTTCCAGCAGTGAGAAGTGGGGATTTTTAAGCTGGAGAACCCAAGGCTACCCTTTCATTTTTTTCACAAAATTTTCGTGTAAAAGGTAATCTATTCCCCGCCCCACCTATTGTCGCTGATCAAGTTCCTGGTCTGTTTTCGGGTGTCCCTCCCCACCCCCGTAGCAGGAAGGATGAATTTCTTCCCTCAGCCTTTCTGATAGCACTAATCAGTGCTTATATGACTGAAATCGTTTTGCAGGAAATATTCCGGACCCTTTCAGGGAACTTAAGTATCTTTCAGAAGGAGAGAATTCACGACTCCTGTCTTAGGAAAAATGCTGACCCTCATCTGAGAGTCTTTTTAGTCAGGGAAATATCAGGTGTCAAGGAGTTAGCAAGCTGGCTTCCTGTGGCGTCGTAGCCAAAAGAATAAAGAGAAAAAGAAATTCTATCCACTTATTTCCTATTTTAAACAAATACTATAACCAAGTGTGAAAGTTCAACATATCAAATGAAAATGAATGTCCTGATATTTTATATCTCCAATTTGTTTAGAGTCTGCATAGTCCCATTTTAAATGGAGAAAATTTGCATACATTATGGTCTTCCTTCAAATGATTCAAGGGACTGAAATAAAAGACATTGGAATTTGCCACTGTTCAGAGTATAACTCAAATCTATGTGAAATAACTCAAAAGTCTAAATCAAATCCTCTTTCTGGGATTATATAGCAAAGTAATTATTGGTTTTGAAGTAACTAAGCAGAAAATATGAATGATACATAGTTACAGTTTAAAAAAGTCATGGTTAACTGTACACCAAGAACTAGGTAAAATGATTTTGTGTACTCAGGAAAATATTCAAATGATATGAATGTATACAAATTAACATTATTTAATAATTCTGTTAAGATGAGTCCAGTGTCACAGAGGCAATGACTTTAAACTGGACTTTACAGTTTAACATTTTGCCAACTATAGAAGGAGGTTCAGACAGGATAAAAATAAAACAGTGAGAAAAAAATCATGGAGGAATAAAAGTACAGGGAGTGTTCAATTGTTTTGAGTTCCATAAAGTTGAAACAGGATTGTAGGGCGCTGAGACCAGAGTAGTAGATTGTGAATGAACTGTTAAGAGAGCTTAACTACGTTTTTCAAATGTTTACATTTAAATTAACAGGCAGCATAGTTTTAAAATTTATTTATTTATTTATTGTCCTTGAATTATGTATTTCAGTGTTCTAACCTTGGCTAGGAATTAGAGTCACCTGGGGAGCTTTTTAAAAAAGAATAATATTGTGGTCGTACTCCCTGTTTCAGTTGGTTAGGGGAAGGGACTTAAGATCTCTAATTTTTAAAGCTCCCTAGGGAATTCTAATGCACATAGAGGATTGAGAATTACTGATCCAAGTAATTATTGGTTAATTTATTTTTATTTTAATAACTTTAATATATCAAGTAAAAAAATTAATTTCATACTTATTTTTTTTCCTGGAGAAATTTTCCAGCTAACCATTGAGGTAGGAATGTTGACACTTTAGTGAAATGAATTTCATAGACCTCTCTATTAAAATGAAGAGATTCTTTAAAAATAATTTTCATGTGTCACATAATGGCACCAAGAGGTGGTTGCACGGGTCGTGCTAACTTTGAAATGTGGGTTAACCTGCCTTTTTTGGAATAGTTTGGACTTCTTTTTTACTTTTGCTGCCAGATACAAGGGAAGCTGCAGTGGGTCAAGTGTCCGGACAAACCAAGCAAGCTTTCCAGTGAAACCCC